ACTGTGGGTTAATGCGCTGGACTGCGAAGTCAGTTTGAAAGACAAAGTTCAAGCTCACCAGTTGTTCCTTGGAAACCCTATACAGAGTCGCTATGGGTCGACTCAACGGTACTTAGAAACAACAGGCATCTCCACTTGGTTACTTTACTATGGCCCCAATTCTAAGATGCTCCCCAGCTTCTCACATTCCTGTCCAGTACCCCCAGACTTTTTGTTACTTGAAACACCCTGAGAAATGTAGGCTCATTTCCTCCTTCATTCCACTTGTCTCAAGCATATCCTTGATCTTGCCCAGGACACTGGTGCTTCTCAATTACACTGTGATTCCAATCAGTCACACTAATGGTCTGCACCACACAACTCGACAAATCACTGCTTCCCTGCTGTCCATCTTGTATCAGTTATTTTATCTCCCCAGTCAACAAAGTAAACCTTAGTCTTCTCTGGAAGCTAACACCTCCTCCTAGTTCAGTCCAATCTGGGCCACATAGGACACATTCAGTAGACCTGTGCTCAAAAGCACTGCTTTAGCAAGGAGGGAAAGGATGATCCTCCCTGATCAGAGGGGCTGCTGTGGTGCCCCCGCCCCCCGCCAAGGATTCTCAGTGGGACTTGTACTCACTCTGAGCAAGCAGCTTGGCCACCATGTCTTGACTGCCCGCCTGGGCCTCCTGTGTCTTGCTCGCCAGACGGCGGTTTGCAGATTCCAATCTCTCTGTTTCCAATGAAGGGAAGATGTTTTAGTGTTAGAGAAATTACCTGCCTGGATTTTCTCTGGGGTCTCATCTGAGGGCCCAGTGAGGAAGGGAATTGTCCATCAAGGTCCACCATCTGGACCATATTGTCAGGAGCTTCAGGAGGGGCTCCAAGGTCCAGAACATAAGGAGTCAGTCTGGCCCCCTCCCAGTTAATTTGCATTTATTTTTACAGAGGACAAAGATTCTGGACTTCCCCTGGGAACAGAGAGGGTTCAAGCCCTCTGCCAATTGGGTGACTGCTCTTACCTCGAAGATCGCGGTTGAAGTCCTGCAGCCTCCTCATCTCGCTGTCCATCTTGTTCCTCATGGTCTTCTCCAGTGCCTCACGCTTTGAAGAGGCTCTTGTCAGGCTCTCATGGGCCTCAGAGAGCCTCTGGATTTCACTCTCCAGCTGCAAGAGGCAGATAGCAGAGCTGAAAGAAGAGCTCTCAGGGGGAATATGTAGCAACCAGAGTCCTGGCGTGGCGCTGCACGTTGATGCTCTGGACTGCAAGGTTGTTTGAACCGCAAGGTTGGCAGTTCAAACTCACCAGCCACTCCTTGGAATCCCTATATATGTACAGGGTCACAATGAGTCGGAACTGACACAATGGTGCTTAACAACAACAAGGTCTTCCCATAGTCCAGGCTGATCTACTACTCTTTGTCAGAAATGGAGATAGATGAGAGTTAAAAAAATAATAATAAAAAGCAGGAGTGAAAATTCCAGGTGGTCACAGGGGGATGGTCAGGAACTTGTAGCTTCCTGAGTTAAATGAAATTACTGGGACCAGCAAGCAAGGGTCCCATCAAGTGCCACAAGTACTGAATGTTGATGTTGATTTAAACACAGCTTCTTTGTGTCCAGGACCCAGAAAGAAGCATTTTATTTCTTTTCAGCCTCTGCTGAGGAATTGGACCACAGTCATATCCTGGAGGGTCTGATCCACTTTGGCTACTACTAGAGAGCCACAGGGGGGCAGGGGCTACCTCCTAAAGCTGACCCTACCTCTGTCTGAGTATCTGCTCCTCCAAGCCATCCACCCAGCCTGGCCCTAGCTGCCCCTCCCACTTGGCTGCCAGCAGGTTCCACACGTGCTCTAGCTGGCGTTGCAATTCTAACAAGTCAATCGGTTTTTTTTTTTTTTTTTGGTTTTTTTTTTTTTTTTTTTTTCCACCCTCAGCTAGAGGAGGGGCTTTCTCTTTGGCCAGGGTTGTGCTGAAACAGACATGCTGTTGTGTGGAGGATACAAAGGGCTCTCTGTGGGAGGTGTCCAAGGGAGGGGTGTGTGCGGGGCAAGGGTGCGAGCCTGCAGGGAACCGGTGAATGGGTTCTTTCTAACCACCACAGGCCAGCAACTGCTCATGCTCCAGGCTTGCCCTGCTGGCCTCACGGCTGCTCCTCAGCTGTCTAGAGTCAGTGAGTGAGGGGGCATAAGGGGAACGGAGATACACAGAGATGTGCACCAGCCCAGCCAGACACAAGTTTTCAAGCTCCTCTGTCTGCCCTCGAACCATCCACTCCTCAGGGGTTCATCCTAGCCCCATGCTCTCTGGGGGCCCAGCAGGACATACCTTCTCCATGCGACCAGCTTTCTCCATGGAACTCCCCAGTTCTCTCTGCAGCCTCTCATTGTCTCTCTGCAGCCTGGCATTTTCCCTCAGCATAGTGTCCATCTGAGCCAGGTGGGCACTGCCCGAGGTAGCCAAGGAGACCTGGGTACTTGCTGGCCCTTCCACTCCAGGTGGACTGAGGGAACCCAGTGGTCCGTGACTAAGAGCAGCAGGGTGCGGGAGTGCGGGGTGCTCTTGGGGCTGCTGCATGGACTGGTACTGCTGTTCCTGCTGTTGTTGAAGGAATACAGGGGGCACCTGGGTCTGCAGGATCCTGGGGAACAAAAGAGACAGTGCTCAGAGGTGGTCCATGGCTTCTACACCAAGTTGGCAGGCTGGGGGAAGGGAGGAGTGGAGACAAGCAGATTCAGTCTCTCCACAGTGCTAGGAAGACCTTTTCCAAATGGAGTCTGCCGAAGACCCTCCAGGGCCCTGCGAGCAGGGCTGGGGGACATTCTTGCCAAGATGCTTGTGTCATGTCCAGTCCCACGTGCCCAAGGCCTTGGGATTGGCCTGTGCAATCCTGGACTTCCTAAGCCAACAGTGCTGCATAAAGTACCTTAAAAAATGCACACTTAACCCTTCCTTTGGATGACAGGTTCTTTTTGTCTGGGGACCACATTAGTCCCTTCTGAGTCCATAGCCTTCCAAGTACCTGGGTCACTTGATAGCTGGGCCCTAGCAGTTACCCTAACTCATTTGTTACAAGCTACCAGTTTTTGTCCTTTGCTAGTCCTTCCCAAAGTAGCACACTCAGATTTTCTCTCTCCACCCAACTCAGATTTTCAGAAGACTCTGGTTAAGGATAGTAACATGGTGAGCCAGATGTTGGAGTATGAATGTGCAACTCTAGATAGAGTCTGACAAATACAAATTCAAATGCTGGCCCCATCTAGTTGACCTTGTGTAAATGCCTAGGCCCCATGGAGTAAGTACAGTTCTGTAAATCATGAGGGAAAGTCTCCAGCCCCTGTTGGGCAGAGAACTGGGACTCCAATCATGGCCGTGCCACCCTAGTGGTGAGCTCAGTTTCAAGAATAAATGTGACCGAAACACATGATTGTCTTGGAAGTAGAGGCTGCCTCTGGATACCACAATAACCTGAGTTCAGGGCACGATGTTCTACTGGTTTCTACGACTTGTATTACAGCACCCTCAAAGCCTCACACCATAGGAAGGAACAAATGACATGAAGTATGGGAGTCTTTGGGGCTTTCTGGGGCCTAATGTCTCCAAGTATCAACAAATGTCCCAGTTTCATTTAGAACTCTCAAGACCCAGAAGTTTTACAAAAATTCATTTCATTTCTGAGCTCATTACCTCAGACATAATGGGCACCCTCCATAAAGAATCCCCACAGCACATGGCTTTCCTTCTCCACTTAGGATCCCAGGATCAAACAAGGAAAGGTCCTGTCTCCAAGCTCCCAATAAAGGATCCTCATTTGACCAGTTGAAAAGAGAAGCTAAGCAGACATGTTCTTCACTACCTAGAGCTAGGCTTCCAGTGAGGTCTGGGCAGAGGGTCCCCATTGGAATGTTCGATGCTTCCTTCACTGCTGAATATGGTCATTCTTGGGGTTGTTTCAAGGACTTGCTCCCCTATGCACAGGACCAGGCAGATACAGCTGGCATTCTTAAGGGATGACTTAGCTCTAGACAGAATAGTCTCCTTTCCCTTCAAACTTGCTTTCCCTTCTCCTTGGTCTCCCCTCCCCCTCTTTTTGTTCTCCTGAAAACAGTCTACTTCCTTTCCACGACATTATCTTTTCCTGACAGGGTTCTATAAGGCTGGTCCAAAAGAAGAAACTACCACTCAGCTTCCGAAACCCTTCCCAACATAGCCCTGGGAAAGGAGATAAGGCGGGGAGTCTGAGGGGTGGAGGCTCCAGCCTCTAGTTCCCCATTCCAACACCATTGCGTCACTGGTTTCTTGAGAGCAAGGAAAAGCATCTTTCCCGAGAAAGGCCCAATGTTGGGAAAGTGGGTGACTAAATGACGACTCAACAGTCTTGAAGAAATTTTTATCTTGGATTACAAGAAGAATGGAGTCTGCAAATCCTCAGGACCCTCTGGTGAGGTTTCCTGGGTCCTTGGAGGGATTGATCCAGAAGCGATGGACCCTGTGCCAACTCCTCTGGAGAAGGTGCTGGGGCCAGTGGGTCAGGTGATAAGTGTGAGCTTACCCTCATTTCCAGGAACCCACATTTTTGCAAATTATCTGAGTTTCCTGACTCCCCTCTGGTTTCTCCGCTTCCATTCTTGCCCTCTATGATCCAATCTTTATGAACGGGCTTCAAAAAGTTTGTGCAAAAATTCCATTATCTTTTCATTCTATTTTCCCATGAACTTTTTAAAGTCCCTTTGCATATGCAACCCGATGGACTTAAAAAAAAAAAAAAAAAAAGATAGCGCAAATCACATCACATCCTCCAACCGTTTCCCTTAACACTCCGTTTCCCTTAACACTCCGAGTCAAACTCTGAATTCCCTTCCTGACCTAGCAGATTCCAAACAAAGGGGGATCGCTTGGACCCAGAATCCTCTCCCTTAACAAGCCCCGGGCACATGGGGTGTGGAAAACAGTGAAAGGAAATGAACAGTGTGGAAAACAGTGAAAGCAACAAGGCAGCTAGCTGCTGCCCTGAAGAACGGGGAGAGGTCTCTGATGAGGCCATTTGGTCCTTTCCTGCCTCCAGTTAGGAAATGTCTTCCAATAATCACAGAAAGCAAGCTGTCCACCATCTTCTTAAAAACCTCCAGGGAAAGCAACTCTACTACCGAACTTGAAAACAGTTGGCAATGATTCCCAGCCCTCATCCTTAGGAAGTTCTGAAATCTAACGTTTAAGCCCCTGCTGTATCCTGTGTCCTCAGAGAGCCCTGGTCATTTGAATGCTATGCATACCAAGCTCAGTACACATGGGTTATCTCTCTGACCTAAAGCAAGGATGCCATTCATTTGTTGTGCCCAAGCTTTTTAACTTGTTGGCTCAGTCCACCTCTCCCCTGCAGACATTAGCTCCTGCCTCTAGAGTTGATGGAATGAGGTGGGACCTGGCCAGCCCTGACCCAGGTGTGACCCTAAAGTTCTCCTTCCTGGGAAAACCACACTGGGAAAGCCAAGAGTTGGTGCTGAAAGACCAAGGTGTGGAGCAGTTACCTGACTTCAGCATGCTGGAAGTGCGGGTTGCCACGGGTGGAGTGAGATGGTTCCCATGAGCATGCCCTTGGACCAGGGAAGGCAGCAATGGTCTCATGAGCTAGTACGACGTGTGGATACTGAGGTGGGGGTCCGCGGGTCTCTGGACCCTCAGCAGGGGGGCCCCTGGGTGGGGGTCCCTGTTGGTTGCGGGCCAGCTGCGGGAAGCTGTGGGAGGAGCTCATGTGGTTAGGGGCCCGGGCACCGTTCCTCTCCAGGGACAGTTGCAGGAGCCGCTCACTCAGGGAGCGCACATGCCCATGCCTCAGCTCTTTCAGAGCCTCATCTTGCCTCCGACTGCTTCCCAGGGCCCCACGTGGCTCCCGGTCCCCAATGTGTGGCCTGGGCCCCGCCTGCTGGGCTGCGTAGTACTGTGAATGGGCTTTGGCCTCCTCATAGGTGGGCAGCTCCTCGCCCTTGCTGGTCTGTGAGCACAGCCGGTAGAGGGTATTCTCTGTCAGGTGGGCCTCGCCACCCTGGTGCTCCTGGCCCTGGGGTTCTTGTCTTGTGGCCTGCTGCAGCACCTGACTATCCTCAGGTGTCAGGATTTCCAAGGAGGCTTGGGGGCTCCCTGTGCCCCCAGCTCCACCCCGCAGAGCCTGCTGCTGGATGGCCAGCAGCGTGCGGGTCTCAGTCAGGTTGCCATAGCGTAGCTGCTCCTGGATGAGGCGGTGCAGGACTGTTCCCGAGGAGTCTTCCAGCGTCCTCATGCTTCCGAGACTTGCACACACCCGCCTGGACAAAGGCCAGCAGCACCTGGGCCCAGAGCACCTGGGAGAAGAAAGGAGAGAAAAGAGAACCATCAGTGGGAGTACATGGGGAAGACAATAATAGTAAACAAGCATGGCTTTGGGGTGGGACAGGGGAGGGGGGCATCCAAGTCTGGCTGTAAGTGTCAGTGCTGTTTACCTATTGAATAAGACAACTTCCGAGCCTCAGTTTCTCCATCAAACCCCCAAATGGAAAGAATGAAATCTCCTTCATGAAGGGGTAGCATTTAAAGAGGCACTATCTGTTAAACTCCTGGTTCACAGTAAATGTTTAGCAAATGATTACCATTGTCGTAATATTTATAGGAGTCCTGGTATGGATAAGCACAGGACTGTAAGGTGTGAATTGCAAGGTCAGCAGTTCAAACTCATCAGCCGCTCCTCGGAAACCCCATACAGGGTCACTCTGAGTCCATGGCACTTAACAACAGCAACAAGGAAAGAAAACAATAACCCAGAAGTTCATCAGCTAGGAACCACAGCCTCCAAGCACTGCCATCATCACCCATCAAATAGCTTTATGAAGGACTCAAAGGCAGGTCCATGGGGACCAGCTCTGACGTAGCTAAATCTACCCCAAACGAAGTATACCCTGACTATGGCACAAGCGAGCCACAACACATTTCCCCCTGTGTCCACTACCCATTCCTCGCACTCTTCCTTCCCCACTCCCCCACTCCCCAAATCAGTGAGCTCCTAGAAGGCAGATCCTAAGCTCTACTTAAAAAAACTCTATTGACAAAATGTGCCCTGGCATTCATTTACCAGGGAACAAGAAGAGACATACATCTAGATTGATAGATTAAGGAATAAAAGAAGAGAGGCTGCAATAGGGCAATGGTTGTGTGAGTTAGAGCAAAAAGGTTCTTCCTACCCACCAGGTAGTCCTGGTGTGGTGCTATGGGATACTGCGCTAGACTGCAAGGTCAGTTTGTACCACAAGGTCAGTGGTTCAAGCCCACCAGCTGTTCCTAGGAAACCCTATACAGGGTCCGCTATGGGTCAGAGCGATTCAACAGCACTTCACAACACCAGGTAGAGCTCCGGTGCTGCACTTGTAGGATAAGAACTGGATGCCTAACCAGAAGGTTGGAGGTTCAGAGCCACCAGCTAGTCCTTGAAAATCCTATATAGGGTCACTATGAGTCGGAATCGATTCGACAGCACTGAACAACAACCCATCATCAAGGTGAGTGAATAGCTGTGCATGCAGACAGTATGGACGCTCCAGGAAAAGAAAGCATGGGTATAGTACCTTTGACCTTGTGATGATGTCTTTTCTTCCCTCACACTTGCTACTTGGAAAATCCCTGTTGACCCTCTAGGCACAAATAAGATGGTCACTCAGCATCTTTTTCATAATATCAGTAATTCCCACTTGAGTCAACTGAAGGAGCTCTGGTAGCTTAGTGGTTACGAATCGGGCTGCGAACCTTAAGGTCAGCGGTTCGAAACTACCAGCCACTCCGCGGGAGAAAGATGAGGCTTTCTACTCCCGTAAAAATTTACACCCTCAGAAACCCTGTACAGGGTGGCCATGGGTCAGAACTGACTCGATGGCATTTAACAACAACAAAAAAGGGGAAAGTGGGAGATCCTAGGTTGCCTAGGTCTGGTGGCTGTGAGCCTAAGATGAAAGGAAATGAATATTCAAAGAAGGTGTTGCCTTCTAAGACTGGGGTCCCAGCGGTTCATGCCCTGGAAGACTGCCCACCTCACCCTGTCTCCTTTCCACAGCCTCCTCCAACACAAACCTCCAAACCAGGATTCAGGGAAAACCAAACAAAACTCACACCTCCAATGATCCTGTGTGTGCGCAGTGCTCTGAGGGTGGGCATGCAAAGAAGCAGGAATGAGGCCCTGCTCTGGCATACAACAAATCCCAGAGCAGGGTCTCAGTCCACTCTCTCCTCCTCGGGGCTCCTCAGCCCAGAGCTGTGGAGTGCCGGATAAGATAGGACACCTTTGTACCCAATCTTTCTGGTATTCCACACCCCCACACCACACGAGCAGATAGTAAACACACTGAGTGTCCAGAGACAAAACAAGCAAACAGGGACCAGCTCGCTCTGGATTTTCATTATGTTTAGGGCATTTCCTAAATTAATCACTGTCTGGCCTGTTTCGGCTGAGGAGGAGTAGGGAGCTGCAAAAAGGAATGCAGAATCCTCACGACAGATTCCAGGCTCCCAACACTATTCCCGAGAACAGAGCACACACCCAGGGCTTCTTATCCCGGAGTTTATTCACGTCAGGCCTCACCTGTGTCGAAAACTAACGAGCCGAGCCATTACTAAAATCTGCTCTCAAAATCCCCCTGCGCCCGCCCCTTTTTGAGCAAGAATGCACCTCTAGCCTTTTTCTGGACTCACGCTAGCGCAAGGAATCAGCGAAAGTCGCCCGATTAGATTGCACCCCGGCCACGGCTCCCACCCTACCCCTATTCTCAGCGGACCACAAGCGTTCGATGGCCTCCGGTGCGCATGGATAGCTCGCGGTCCGAAGAGGGTGTCCAGGGTCCGCCTCTCCCCTTCACGAGCCCTCTTTGTTTTCCAAATACTCTAGCGCTGACGTCAGCGGGCTGGACTGCAGGCTGCATTCTTTCTATGTGAGAGCCGGATCGCGGCTCCAAAGAGGATTTTCCAAGGAAGACAAAGACGAATTCTTAGGCTAGTTGGGGGCAAAGACATCTATAACCCCTTTTCTAACTAAACCCACTCCAAGGCCCTGCAACTTTAACTCGAGGCTGCGCCTCCGGCCTCGTTTGGCGGTCCCTCTTTCCCGATCCACCACCCAACACAACGACCCTGATCTCCCCTGAGGCTGCCCCCCTCCCAAGCCGCAGGAAACGGGCGCGATTGGAAAGCCCCAGGCGCACGACGAGTTGCCACTTGGGCGAAGCGACCCTTTCCCCGTGGTTTTGCAGCCACCTCGAAAGGGCGCATTGCGCCTGGAGGACGCTCAGTCCACCGGGCTCCGGCTCCGGGAAAAAGCCGGGCTGAGCCAGGGTTCGGCTTCGGCTGGAGAGTGGCTATGCCGGCCTCGCGAGCTCCCTGGAGCGCCCAACTGCCTTTCTTACCGCTGCGGCCCGCGGATGCCCGGCGCAGTCGGAACCGAGGATCCGCCCCGGCTCGATTCGACTCAGCTCGGCGGCAGAGGTGTGCACCCGGCAGTGGCGCCGACGCTCTGGCTGTTCCAGCCTGTGCGCGCAGCCCCAGGGTCGGCCCGCGCGGGAGGCGGCTGCTATGTCAGGAATGTGAGAGTTTCAGGTTCCCCCTCGGGATCAAAGCGAACCACAAATAACCTCTCAGCCCGCCGCCCTCCTCCGCCCTCCGCCTCCTCCCATTCCCTCCACTCGGCCCCCGCCTTCCTCCCGGGAGGCGGCGCTGCGGGCCCAGCGCCCGGCCGGCCCTGAGCTCTCTTCCTGGGCCGACCTGGGTCCTCCTAGTGGCGTCCCCCACACCGCACTGCGTCCCCACCCCATCCCGCTTTTCCGTTGAAGCTCCAGGGGCCGATTTCTTTCCCAACCTTGGACCCCAAACCGCCCCGTTCTCGCTTTCTCCTCACCCCTTCATCCCTTAACCCTTTGACAAGACAAAACGGTGAAGTGTACAATCCGTGTCCCGGAGGGACTCCCATCATTGCTGCAGGAGGGGACTCTAGCAGTGTGTGTGTATGTGTGAGTGTGTGTGTAGCTGCAACGAGGTCTAGATCACCTAGACAGTGCCCTAGGCGAAGAGATGATTGTTTTCTGCTACCAAGAGTTGTCCCTAACCCCCCACTGCTTTCATCCCCTGCGGCAACCTTTGAATATTGCACTTCGATTGTTTACAAATACCTTCACCAGTTCTTTTAGGACCGGTCTCCACTGGAAGAGTGATCTGATTAGAAAAATCTTCTGCTCAATTTGACCCACCGATTAGTCGGATCGACTCGACGGCAGTAAATTTGGTTTTAGGTTCAACAACTGAATCACTCGCCGCCAGCCTCTTTTTTACGCGGAGCGCACAGTGAGCCACCACCCGCTTTTTGCTTAATCATCCTATTCAGACCTCTCTGACACCCTCTGAGGGAGTTCTGTTATCCCTGTTATAAATGAGGAAACCAAGGCTCAGAAAAGTTAAGCAACTTGCCCAGGATCACACGGAGAGTAGCCAGACAATCACTGGGTTGCCCAGTTTCTCAATCTCAAAACCCTTCTGAGACGACCAGAATCAGAGTTCTCTAGATGGACAGGGCGTCTAGACTGGAGCACACCCTGTCTCTACTTGCTCTCTTTCTATTCCAGCCTCCTCTTCACAGCTACAAACATTCTTGAGGGGGGCTCTCTCGTATGATTCTGTTGCTCCTGCTGTTTCTCTATGTGGCATCTCCTCCTTTGCCCCCAAGGACCCTTCCTCTTCTCAACTTTCCACTCGGCTGATCTATCTATGACTGTAGAAATCCCTTACCTTCTTCACAAACCTTCTCTACATACCCACCCCCTGTTTTTCCTCCCCCAGCTGTCCCAGCTCTCGGTTTCATTATGAAGCCCTCACCACCCAGGCCACTCAACACATCTTTATGTCCTCTGTCCACCAGGATGGTCAAGACTGACTTCTACCCCGGCAGCTCTCCCTACCATCTCCCTTCCCCAAACATGGAGTTTGCAATTTCCAGAGCTTCTGGAGCAGGCCAGGGACAAGAAAACTGCAAATTAAAAAAGTTATTTACTAGCTAGAAACATTGTGGATCTAAAAAATACACATCTCCCAAAAAGTATGTGTATGTGAGTGCACATGGTTTACTTGGAAACTAAATATTGCATTTCAAATAGGAATTGGGTTTGGGATGATTGAGAAAACAAGCCATTTATAACAAGCTGAGGGAGATTGGACCACCCAAGAACCTCCACACAAAAAGAAGTTATGGTCAATGTGCAACTGTCCCACCTAGATATGAAAATGAAAAGCTGCCTTACCCTGACTGTGAACAGGGCTCTTCTTAGAAACACTTGGTAGATGTGTGGGAGGAGGTGTGGGCATATGAAATTTGGGATTGCAAAATTTGGGGAAAAGCCACATGGTACAATCATTTAGAGGCATTTGCAAGGTCACCAAACACTATGTCTGACAAACATACTTGAGATGGTTGCAGAAAGGTACCAGCTAGAGTTAAGGAGCTAGGTCTTAGAGTGGACAAGCATGCTGCAGACATGAACAGACCCAGATGACTGCTCACTTCTGGGTTACTTGGAGTCCCAGAGGCAGCCAGAGCAACACAGTGAGTAGGGATTCCAAACCCTGAATGGGAAATTTACATGCAATTTTTACTGTTCTTTTTCTTTGTTCTCTGTGTAAAGGATGGATAACAGGGCCTGTCCCGGTAGGGTGGGGCTGGGACCCCAGTAGACTGAAGCTTGCTGAGCAGGCAATCAGACCTGGCCCTGCAGGGTGGTTGGGTGAGAAAGTGACCCGCAATTCAAATATGCTGTAAGTAGGTATGCACAAATGGGCCCTGGCCTGTTTCACATGCTGGTGCAAAAATCTTTGCTTACAATAGAGAAAAAGAGGCTTGTCACTGCCACCGTGCCTAATACCTAGTGATCCAAGGCTTTCTTCCCAGCTTTGTCTCTTTCAGGCATACCACTTCCCCTCTCTCTACCTTGGCCCTTTCCCCCAAGCAAGTAATGTTTCTTCCCCATGCCAGTGTAGCTGACTGAGTCTGGAATCTTGCCCAGGAAGATGCAAAGGTGACCCAGTTCTCAGAGTGAGCCAAGATCAAGGCCTTTGCTCTAGAGTGCAGCTCAAAGGGGTGTGGCTGGATTGTAGGTGTGTACTGGGCTTACCTAGGGAGCCAGGAACCCACACCCGTGTCCCTCCTGGACCTGGGCCTGGGCCTGGGCCTGGGCCTGTGATATGGCCTCAGTTCGATTCCACCACACCCAATGAGAATATGAAGGTGAATGGTTAGCTGGACCCTAGAAGCCCCTCCCACAGAACTAGGAAGGTAATGGTTCTCTTTACTTTCCAGATGATCAATTGGTGGAGGAGGAGCTCTGGTCCCAAGTGACAACATCAAAGGAAGACTGCCAATTGTGAAATTCCCACTTCCAACCTCTGCTGGACACTTCCTTTGGCAGATTATGGGAAACAGGAAGCCCACCAGAATCTGGGGCAGAGAGCAAATTCACAGGAAGAACCTAGATATTAGAAGTTTCAGTGGACTAGCTCCAAGAACAGAAGAATAAGCTGGGGCCTCCTTATTTGTCTTTCTACAAGCCCCATTCCACTGCCCCCTGCTCCATGTTCACCCAAACTTTCCCCTTCTACCACAACCTCCTTCCACTCCCAGGCTCTGTGGACTGTGTCAGGCACAGGTTGCCTTATGGCGGGGTTTGTGTCTTTGGAATATTTGAGAAATTAGACCCCATCATATGTGGCACTGTGGGTTAATGTGCTGGACTGCAAAGTCTTTGAATTGCAAGATGGACAGTACAAGTTCACCAGCTGCTCCTCAGAAACCCTATATAGGGCCACTATGGGTAGGAACCCACTCGACTGGCACTTAACAATAACAACATAGTTGAGATAATAAGATCCTAAAAAAAGAGAAGGGATCCCAGTTTTCCAAAACTGCAGTGCCCCTGGCCTTTCTCCATGCCCCTTTGTTTCTGCTGCTCCTGCAGACCCAGGGCTGGGATGCCTCCTGCAGGAATGAGGGCTGACACTGGGGAGAAAGCTCCCACCACTGCTCCCATGTCCTTTCTAGCCCCTGGGGTCTCCAACTGCCCAGAACCTCTACAGTTCCCTATCCTGCACAGAAGATGAGTCTAGTGGATATGGATGAGTGCAAAGACAAATTGGGGGAATTCAGCCTTCAGTTATTGTTGGCTGGGCAGCCGTCAGGTTGGGGACGAGAACGAGGTGGGTATTTAGGGACTGGACCCTTGGGGCAGTGAGGGTAGGAAGATAATTTTGAAATATCAACTTATCCCCAGACATCTGCCTTCTTTGCAAAGCTACCTTGTACCGAGTGGCGCTAGTTTAGTAGATATGCGATTGCGGCGCTGACTCTTGGTGAAAGATAATAGGGATTCTGGGTCGTGGGAGCAGGGGCTCTCTGTAGAAAAGACCCAAGGCAGATTTCTGTGGTGGCTGGGCTAGGGCCAGCGATCCTCATCTCAGGCCAGGGGTCAGCTCCATCCAAGGCTCCCAAGGTGGGTCTTGGATCCCTGGTGGGAGGGAAGATATTTGAGACAGGGTTTCATCCTGTGGACAGGTCTCTCCCAGAGTCTTCGGAGAATGGACTCCAGTTGTGATACTGAGCTTTCCTCTAATTTTGATTTCTTTTGGACTTTCACATGGTTGTTAGTTGTCAAGTGCCATCGAGTCAGTTCTGACTCATAGTGACCCTGTATAGGGTTTCTGAGGAGTGGCTGGTGGGTTTGAGCCTCCAACCTTGTAGTTAACAGTCCAGTGCTGATCCTACAGCGCCATACCAGGACCCATTGTCTTTAGAGAGATTCTGTCTTTAACACATGCTTGCTTTATTGGAGTCCTGCTGTGGCGCTGTGGGTTAATGAGCTGAACTGCAGAGTTGGCTTGAACCACAAGGTCTGCCGTTCAAGCTCACTTGCCACTCCTCAGAAACCCTATACAGGGTCACTATGGGTTGGAACTGATTCGATGGCTCTTAACAACAACTCCATTGATATTAAAGAAAACACTGTGCATTTCCTCAATACCCTTCCTCCCTCCTACTTTTTATTTAATCTCAGGATGTTATGAATCGAGTGAAGGTTACAGAGCAGAGCATCAGTTTTGCATTCAACAAATCATGTACTTTGAGTCATTAAATGGTTGTTATCCCCTCCACGTACCAACAGTTAAGAGCATTTACCTCTATTTACTTTAACTATTGCATTCCTCCCTGTGTCTCCCGCTACCTTCATCTTTCCTCCGCTAACCTCCCTCTTGTATATTGCTTGCCTTATCACCCATGTTAACATGTGTCTACTCTCTGTTGTTGTTACGTGCCGTCGAGTCAGTTCTCACAGCGACCCTCTATAGGGTTTCCAAGGTGGGTTTGACGGGCCTTGTGTTTTGCAGTCCAGTGTTTATCCTACAGTGCCACACCAGGAGTCTCTCTAGCTCATGAACAACCCCATCCCTACCCCTGTAACCATCGTGTGGTGGTGTGGTGTTATGTGCCGTGGAGTTGGTTCCGACTCATAGCGACCCTGTACAGAGTTTCCGATTTCTTTTATCAAGCA